ATCTATCCATGCATCAGCACGGAAAAAGAAAATGATAGAAATGAATTGTGTTCCACGATAACGTAAATGAGTTGACAGAATGAACAGGCGAAAATCCAAGATGGCAGAAAAAGAAGAAGAAGGAAATAAATGCAGCAGAAAACGGCAAAAGAAAAGATGGAATAAGGTCCAAGCAGAAGAAGGCAAAGGTAATAAAAGAGAGAGCTAAAAAACTGAGAGTAATAAAAAGAGCAAAATGGCATAGTGAAAGAAGAAGACAAAGTCTACAGAGTCACAGATGCTAAAAGTTTGTACACTTTTAATTGAATGTTGCAGGATAGGAGTTAGGAGATCACATCACATAACAGATGGCTTTTAAGACTTGGACTTTTCTTTTCCTTTTTCATTACAAAGCAAACCCTACTTTTCTGTTCTTTTTATGCTCTCTTTCCCTCACAAACCACACCATTTTTAATTCTACTCTTCTAATTCTCATCGTCTTCAAACAAACAGTATTACTCACTCAAATCTATCTTCTAATTCGATATGTTCTAGATAAAAGATGCTCCATTGAAATCCAAAATGAAATATGTGTCCATTGAACTTAATACTACATCTCCCAAACATCTCCAGCCAAAAGAGTAGTTATATGGGTTTTACTCTCCCAAGTCTCTATCTTTTAACATTAACATAAAGTTTTAAAAACCCTAAGGGTTGGTCTGACGGCGAAGAGTTTTGTTCCTTTTCTTGATTTTCTGGGTTCAAACTTTGGGTCACCTATCATATTGTGACTTTCCCACATTACAATTTATTCGGTTATTTGAGTTCGTAAAGTATTTAAAAAACTCTAAAGATTAATTGATATACGTATAAACTAGACTTCACACTTTAGTTACAAAAAAAGAGTTGTTTGATGAGAGCCGGCCCTAGGTCTTTTTTTATTCACATTTATGTACATGTAATGGATTGATTCAAGTATAACATTATTGAATCTATAACATTAGTAGATGAAATGTGATATATAGTTTAATAATTGGAACTGGGATGGGATTGATCGAGAAGGGGACAAGAGATTTAGAGGAACAGTGGATTGGTAATAAATAATTGAATTTAGTTGAAAGAAAAATCAATTTTGTTGGTTTTGGTAAGAGTCAAAACTAGTCAGATCACTTGGAAATGACATTTCCTTGAATATTGGTCGTACCCTTTTTTTTTTTCTTATATAGATTTACTGTTTTAAATATTTCAATTTTGATGAGTTAAATTAGGGTTTGTTCATGTTGGAGGAAGTACAAATGGAGAAATAAACAAAATATAAAAGGGCAATTAATGGTACAATTCAAAGAAAAGAAAAAGAAAATTTGATCACAAGATTGCATTAAGGGAAGATGGAATCGTACGGACATACACATTTTACTTGTTAAATACGTTAAAACTTAACAGATGTCTCCAACACCACCGCGAGATTCCCGGCCACCCTTCTCCTCCTCGGCCATCCCATTTTTCCTCTTCCTTCTTTAATTCCCCACTCTTCCTTGGAGGCGCGTGTTGTTGTTGTTGTTAATTAATTGATTATTTATTAGGTTTATAGTGCAATTATTATGTCTGTTTTTCACAAAAATTACATTAACTCCATGCTCGTCCTGCCAATTATTATGTCTTTGTTTCGTAATTAATAAAAGCTTGAGGGACGCGTGGAGAAGAAGATGGTAAGAAAGTTAAAGGTTAGATTTCAAATCCCCTTGACTTTGACGGCGACATGCAATTTCAAAATTTCAACACAAAATATAATATGCTCCCTTTATATTTACTCAATCATTATCGCACTCAATACTCTTCACATTTCCCATAATCTTAATTTTATTAACTTGTACTAAATACTGCATATTTTAAGTTAAGTTTAAATCATAATATAATTTGAACAAAAATGTTTATGGTTGATTTTGATACCAACTATTCGGACGTGAGAAATGTTAAACGGGTTTAGAAACCACACGTGATTATGGAAGTATTTAGTTGAATAAAAGGTGAAGAACAATGTTTAAAGTGGTTCGGATGCTCACAAGGCGAATCATACGTCCACTGATATTATACTAATGAGTAAAGTCAAGTCGCGTTTAGCGAGCTGAGTTACAACTTAGAGAATACAAGAGAGAGAAAATATGCTATTCTAGAGTGAAATTAGTCAATCCCACAAATGGGAGAGGAGACTTCTATTTATAGTGAGATGAATCAAGGTAATGATTACTAAATCTGCGAGTTGGGTGGATGTCGTGCAAATCCTTCTCTACGTTTCATTGTTCACCTACTCGAGTGATTTCCTTGACTTGTGCAGGGATTGGACACATAGACAATCTCCAACCATTTGCCAACCTGATGTACACCCACTATACTGACAGGAGCATGCCACTCACATCGTCATACGACGTGATCATATCTGAACGGTCGTATAACCTTCTTAAGTTCTGACCACCCATATTGCAAGACTCTACACTAGCCCTACTATTTCGGTCATAACCAAAAATATGAATTTCACTGTTATAAAAACATCCATCATTTACTATTAGTGGTAAAAGATAATTATGATTCAGTCGTAGTTTTTTGTTTTTTGTTTACAGAAATTCATGGTTATAATAATGAATGTGATGTAATTGAAGACAGAAACATAGGTAGAATAATGGCTAATGAAGATGGGGGGTTCTCTCATCACGTGGGCCATTGGTGGGGCAATTCCCATCTATCTATCACTCTCTCTTCCCTCTGTCATTATAATTTAATCTTTTTCTTCTTCTTCTTCTTCAAAGAGAGAAAGACACACACTTTGTAGCTTCAAAGAACCAGACTTTAGATATATATATACACACATATTTATCATTATAATTTATGTGGGTGCGGCTGAGATGTCACTTTTTGGTGGCAAGACAAAACTTGAAGCTACGGCGGTTATCTTCTTATTCATCATGTTTCTTTTCCAGATTATATATATATATATATATACACACATATTTATCATTATAATTTATGTGGGTGCGGCTGAGATGTCACTTTTTGGTGGCAAGACAAAACTTGAAGCTACGGCGGTTATCTTCTTATTCATCATGTTTCTTTTCCAGATTTGGGTTGGCTCCGACTGCCGCGCTGAAGCCATCAGGATTTTTCCGGAACCCACAAAACTTATCAACAAAGCTACCAACTTCAGCGCTAGTAGTTCAATGAAGAAGAAGAGCTTCAAACAAGACCTATTTCATAAGTACTTCCATGGAAGCGCTTTTCACTTCAACACAACAACAACAACAACAACTCTTCGTGATGATAAAGGATTTGAAGAAGATAAACGAAGAGTCCCCAGTTGCCCAGATCCTCTCCACAACTAGTAAAATTATTATTCATTTCTTTTTTTTCTTTTTTTCTTTGTGATAGATATTTTGAGTTTATGTTTATCTGCCAATTAATAGAGATACACATGAGGTAAAGCAACAGTCTAGTGCCCCTTACTGCGTTGTTTTCTTAGGTAAGATTGGGAGCCAATACCTGGTGGGAAGTTGTGAAAGTGATTACGAGATTATTGAAAAGCTTATTTCTGCTACATCTATGCCTCAAGATGTTTATTTGGTGGACTATGATTATTTGATGCTTCTTTTTGGCTCCGTTTTTAACTCAACTCCTAAAATAGATTAGAGCTTAAAGGGTTCATAAGCAACCATACACAATTTAGTGCACCTTTTGCCTATGCCCTAGGCTTGGCACTATTAATTGCTTTGGATCTAAAATAGATTTAGCTATTTGCATTTGGCCTTGGTTACAATATAATCCGTTTATGGATTTCGAAATTGCGCCTCAGTTTTTCCTCCCAACTTGGCTAAAATAGTTCCATGATTCACTATACAAGTTGAGGCCTCAATGCATAAATAATCATTATGGATTTTTATTTGTCTTCCTTTTGTTTGGAAAGTCTTTTAGGCCCTCATTTGGTTGTACAAGTTTTACAGAACCACTTAAGGGAAAAAAATGAATCTTGATTGCGGGACGCATACCTTACTCTTAAATAGAAAATTACCTTATTATCGGTATACTAGCCTTGTGGCACTTGGGACAAGTTGGGATTAGATTATTTTATTGAAAAGTAAAAAAAACAGCTTCATGGATGACTAAATTATGCAATCATTTGACACACAAGAGAGAGTGGTTTTTAGGGGAACTGTTGTATAAATAGTTTTACAAATAGGCACTCTAAAATGTTATGGCATTATGTACATGTCAGTAATCATTGTTCCCTACCTTGCAGTTTAGCATTATGGAGTCATATTTTATGGTTGGTTCGAGTAGTCCAGAATGTTTGTGCTGAATTTGATATTTTAGAGCAGCTTTTATTCTTGAACTGATTTTTATATGGCTCATCTATTTTGCCTGACAGGGCCATATGATACTGATCAAATAATGCTACATACGGCGTCTACAGCTCAATGTTGCTACTGGTTATGGAGTGGTGCTTTTCTGTTTCTTCTTTCTGGTGAATCCCTACTGATGGGTGTAACAAAGTGCATGTGTTTCGGGAGACCTTAGCTCCGGGTGGGAATCGAGCTTGGACCATCATCTACTTTATCTCATCATGGTGAGATTTAAGCATACCAATTACATTTTTCTCGTTCTCCATCACAGGGAACCTTACTCCGATACTGATTGATGCATATCCTCTTTTCTTACCCCCGATCGTCAGACTTGCGATGTTCGTACTATTTAATGATACTATCATTTGCTCCTTTTTACTGTTGCCATATCTTTCTACACTCAAGCCCTGTCTATAAGTTTTGGTATTCATCTCGGTTCAATTCCAGTGTCCCAAAACAGAGCACTAGGAAATCTTCATCTGTGCATTGTACTGAACCGCCTTAATGTGCCTTCTTCCAAGATGTTTGACTATAATTTTGTGATATTCTGTGTGCCGGGCAACGTTTTTCCTGGTACCGAAGCGTGTTTAATAGCAGGAGCTCCAAAAATGCATACCACACCAATATCGGGGAATGATTCTTGCTCACAACTTCTCCTGTGAAACATTGAGGAAAGGCGTTTTTTTATGCGGGAGCAGTATTTGTGGTTGCAACAATGATTCTGAACGTTTACTTCTACATGTATTCACCAAGGCCACCGCTGCTCAGGCTGCCCCAAAGAAATCGTGCAAGTTCGACAGTTGGGATGACCGGCCGCTGGTATGCAGTAGAGCCAACCAATAGACTAGATAGCCAAGTTTTGTTTCTAATGTCATAGAGTTTGTGATGACGTTGTATTATGCAATGTGACTGATATTTTAGTGTGCTTGTTCAAAGAATATAGTGCTGTCATGATTTCTCATATGTTTTCTCCCAGATTTGTTAATTAAAGTGAATCAAGAAAAACAGGGCTTCGTTTGGTTCAAAATTTTGGGTTTTTGGGAAAAGTTTTTTGAAAAAAGTTAAAAAAAAGTTAGTTGGGTGGGTATTACGTGTGAATTTATAAATTAATAAAATACCCTCTATAGTTGTTTTTTACAAAACACCCCCTATAATAAAACATTAAAGTTAACAAAAACATCTCCAAACCCCCCTCAAATACGGACAGCCGACCACCACCGCTGGAGGTGGCGGAGTCGCTGTAACAAAAACATTAAAATATTTAGGGGTATTTAATTAAATTATAATTTAGAGGGTTTAAAAAAAAATTGAATAAAGTGTGAATATATTATGAGTTTTTGGTATTTTACTGTTTAACTTTTGTGGGATACTAAAAGCCAAGGCTTAATTGTTCTCCAATACATTCTTGACCACTTCTATAACTTGAGAAAGATGAGTCATTTTCATCCATTAACTATGATTATGATAATATGACATCCTAAAACTTGTTAGAAACTTCTTCAATAAATGTTTCAAGATTAAACCATGTGAAGAGTGATGTATTGCTTGTGAAAGTGGTCAAAATGGCAGCAACTGCAGAGAAACACAAACTCATTTACGCAAAAGAGTACAGCATCTGTTTCTGTTTTGCAGAGTCCAAGCAGAGAAAGGGTTGTCCAAAAGTTATCTAGAGGTCTTATGCGGAAGAAATGGGAAAGAAATTGAACCGGTCAGTGCAGTACTGCAGTGTGATATAAATAGCATATACCAGTTGTACCATGGACCTGCGATTTGAATTTTTATACAGACTCATTACTAGTTTGGTAAGCATAAGTTTTTCCTACTAATGGACCGTTTCTGATGAATATCAATTATCATTCTCAGACTGGACTAGTCCTTGCCCTTGAACAGTGTGAATTGATTTGCCTTATGATTCAAGTTGTTTTCTTCTTCTTCTTTAACTAGTAGTGAACAAGGCCTAGGCTAAGTAAAGACTTCAAGATATAAGCTATTATGAAGCAAGTTTGGTGTAATGTTTTCTTGGATTAAGATATTTGGTAATTGGTTTCTAAAAGGCATATAAGAATCTATCCATGCATCAGCACGGAAAAAGAAAATGATAGAAATGAATTGTGTTCCACGATAACGTAAATGAGTTGACAGAATGAACAGGCGAAAATCCCAGATGCAGAAAAAGAAGAGAAGGAAATAAATGCGCAGAAAAGGGCAAAAGAAAAGATAGAATAAGGTCCCAGAAGAAGTGCAACAGGTAATTAAGAGAGAGCTAAAAACTGAGAATAAGAAAAAGGGCAAAATGGCATAGCGAAAGGAGAAGACAAGGTCTACAGAGTCACAGATGCTAAAGTTTGTACACTTTAATTGAAGTTGCAGGATAGGAGTAGGAGATCACATCACATAACAGATGGCTTTTAAGACTTGGACTTTTCTTTTCCTTTTCATTACAAAGCAAACCCTACTTTTCTGTTCTTTTTATGCTCTCTTTCCCTCACAAACCACACCATTTTAATTCTACTCTTCTAATTCTCATCGTCTTCAAACAAACAGTATTACTCACTCAAATCTACTTCTAATTCGATATGTTCTAGATAAAGATGCTCCATGAACTCCAAATGAAATATTGTCCATGACTTAATACTACATCCCAAACATCTCCAGCCAAAAAGTAGTTATGGGTTTTACTCTCCCAAGTCCTCTATTTTAACATTAACATAAAGTTTTAAAAACCCTAAGGGTTGGTCTGAGGCGAAGAGTTTTGTTCCTTTCTTGATTTTCTTTTGGTTCAAACTTTGGGTCACCTATCCTATTGTGACTTTCCCACATTAACAATTATTCGTTATTTGAGTTCGTAATATTTAAAAACTCTAAAGATTAATTGATATCCGTATAACTAACTTCACACTTTAGTTACAAAAAAAAGATTGTTTTCATTAATGTCTTCTAGACCATAATCATGATTTGGGTTAAGTTAATTACTAACACAACAAATTAAATTGAGATGATTTGGTTTGAGTTTATCAGTGGTTTAGTATAGAAATACACATATTTTTTTTAAATTATTTTACTTAATCTTAATTTAAACAAATAATTATTTTAAGATCTTCAAAAAAAATTAACAAAGAAACATGTAAAAGTTTATTATTAGGCATTTTAACTTGTGTACTTATATATCCTATTTTTGTTATTAATTTTTTAAGAAGAAAACAGTTGGTAAGTAATAATTCTGCATTTATACTATATGGGAGTGTTTAAAAGTAATATAGGCTATGTTTGTTTTAATATTTTTACCATATCCTATCCAAAATATATATTTGTTTCCCCCTAGGTTTGTTAATTCAATTAAACACCCTAAAAAAGTTTAAAAATTGATAAAAACACCCCCACCCACCCACATTTGCTAGATTCCGGCCACCACTGCTGGAAAGTGGCCGAAATATGGCATAATTGTATAATATCGACTGGATCTAGTCGGTAGTGTGCCGATCTAGCACTTTCCTGTCAGATCTTTGATTGTAGTTGGTCGTCAACAATAACCATATGCCGAAAAAAGCCAGATTTGACTTTTCTTGGCCAGATCCACAGTAGATTTGATCGAAAAATGTCATATCAGCACACAACAGAATAGATATAACCTGTCATGCGTCATTACGGTGACTATCAACCACCCTTTGGGCTCTGGCGATGGTGGTCGACTACTAGCATTTAATGAGTAGGTGAGAATGTTTTTGCTAATTTTTAAATCCTATTTCGTAATAACCACTTAATTCAACTTATTTAAAAAATCTACTAAACACATACACCCACAAATGTTAGGGTTGTTAGTGAAATTGACCTTAACTTTAACCGTAGAGTATTGGCAACGCTCCATGAGGTCGCGTGGAGGGAAGTAGTGACTCACTATTCACTGCTTTATATGCCACTACCGCGTATAATGCAAGTCCAAAGTCTTTAACTTTTTTCACTTCAACAGTTCAGTTGTAAGTTCCCACTCAGCTTCACGCTTGGGCTTCTCATTACTCAAAATCCAAACATGGGAGTGTTGGGAGAAGGGAAGGGCTCCACCCTCGTCCACCTGCTCGTCGTCGTTCTCAGTTTGGTGGCTTTTGGTTTCGCCATTGCTGCTGAAAGAAGGAGAAGTGTTGTAAGTACTTTGTTTTTTTCTGTTTTGATTCAATTTTGTGTTTAGATTTTGGATGCAGATTTTGTGTTGTTATGTCATTTGTGTACTTGGGTGGATCTTTGTTTTTCCTTTGTGTTTTTAGTTTGATTGGTTTTATGTGTGAGTCTTTTTTGTTTGTTCAAGGTTAGGGTTCTCTAGTAACTTGTAAGTCTAGTGATTTAGTTTAATCTACTTGGCTGGTTTAGATTTTTCAGTTGGTTGAGTGCTGGGATTCTTGTAATGATTGCAAAGGTTGAACTTTTAAGGGAAAAAAAAATTATGTCTTTGTTGATTGATTGCTGTTTTATGTGAAGGCTTTTTTACCATGTTGAGTGTTTGATATTGTAGTGTCATGAAGTATTTTTTTGATTTTCCAATTCAGGGAATTAATATTGGGTTAACATTACCAAGACTGTTAAGAATGTGATTTGGTACTCAAGTCATGATGTTACATTTCCATTATCAATGTCCTTTAGTTCTGCTCTGAATATCTTTTGGTAATGATTTGTCCAAAATGTTTGAGTACAAACAGCTTTTTAACTTTTTGGTGAGTTGGAAGAGAATGATACAGTCGCAAGATTTTACTGTCTTTTTTTCTAACAAGTATGCTTATGCTTGTTTTTAGCCGTAAGGGGACGGTGGATTTGCTAGAAGCTAGAGTCAGTCAGTTGCATTTTAGTTGATGTGGCTGGTGAAATGTTTCTGAATGTGATACAAAATTCCAGACCAAAATCTTCAATAGAGTAACATATGGCATGAGTTTTTTACCTCCAACTACAGTTAGTTGCATTGCCATCAGTTTTCACCAGTCAATTGCCAAGTTAGTAGAAATGCTCTGAGTGTTTCTGTAATTTCTGTAAAATGAACTTTACTATGGAAAATCTAAGTGGAAGTTGTACTGCAAACTATGCAACAGAGCAGTATATAATCAACTTTTTGGATACAATGAACTTAATCTTCTATCTCCCTATGAGTACAGAGCGATTAGTTTAGACATATTCCAAGTATCTTGTGTCCTCTATGACATTGTAAACCTCCTACTGAGGCATTTGTCTTGGTTGGCTTCTCAATAGATACTTTGAATTTTGTCCAATGAGCCACTATAATAATTTATAGCATCTTGGTGTCAGCAAACAAATAGGCGTGCCTTGAGCCTTGTCACTTCTACTCTGGAGTTTGGTGTGTATGGTAACAAAAAGGCATTTCCTGGTCAGATCAGTCTATCATAATGAATTTAACCAAATTTCTATGACAGCCTTGTGATAGATAGTTTGAGTTTATGTTTATCTGCCAAAGTTAATAGAGATACACATGAAGGTAAAAGCAACAGTCTAGTGCCCCTTATCTGCGTTGTTTTCTTAGGTAAGATTGGGAGCCAATACCTGGTGGGAAGTTGTGAAAGTGATTACGAGATTATTGAAAAGCTTATTTCTGCTACATCTAATGCCTCAAGATGTTTATTTGGTGGACTATGATTATTTGATGCTTCTTTTTGGCTCCTGTTTTTAACTCAACTACTAAAATAGATTAAGAGCTTAAAGGGTTCATAAGCAACCATACTACAATTTAGTGCACCTTTTGCCTTATGCCGTAGGCTTGGCCACTATTAATTGCTTTGGATCTAAAATAAGCTTTAGCTATTTGTCTTTGGCCTTGGTTACAATAATAATCCGTTTATGGATTTCGAAATTGCGCCTCAGTTTTTCCTCCCAACTTGGCTAAAATAGCTTCCATGATTCAGCTATACAAGTTGAGGCCTCAATGGCATAAATAATCAGTTATGGATTTTTATTTGTCTTCCTTTTGTTTGGAAAGTCTTTTAGGCCCTGATTTGGTTTGTACAAGGATTTTACAGAACCACTTAAGGGGAAAAAATGAATCTTGATTGCAGGGACGCATACCTTACTCTTAAATAGAAAATTACCTATTAGTTACGGCAGTAGCGGATCCAGAAATTTTTTTTAGGGTGGGGCCAAAATAAAAACTAATTACATATTAATATTTTTGTTAGGGTGGGCCAAAATCCAAAAATTATATATATTAGTATTTAAAAAAAAAAATTGAGGGCCCACCCAAAAGTGGGCTGGATCCGCCCCTAAGTTACGGTATACTAGCCTTGTGGCACTTGGGACAAGTTTGGGATTAGATTAATTTTATTGAAAAGTAAAAAAACAAGCTTCATGGGTGACTAAATTATGCAATCATTTGACACACAGAGAGAGTGGTTTTTAGGGGAACTGTGTATAAATAGTTTTACAAATAGGCAACTCTAAATTGTTATGGCATTATGTACATGTCAGTAATCATTTTTCCCCCACCTTTGCAGTTTAGCATTATGGAGTCATATTTTATGGTTTGTTCGAATAGTCCAGAATGTTTGTGCTGAATTTGATATTTTAGAGCAGCTTGTTATTCTTGAACTGATTTTTATATGGTTCATCTATTTCTGCATGACAGGGCCATATGATGACAGATCAAAATAATGCTACATACTGCGTCTACAGCTCAGATGTTGCTACTGGTTATGGAGTGGGTGCTTTTCTGTTTCTTCTTTCTGGTGAATCCCTACTGATGGGTGTAACAAAGTGCATGTGTTTCGGGAGACCTTTAGCTCCGGGTGGGAATCGAGCTTGGACCATCATCTACTTTATCTCATCATGGTGAGAATTTAAGCATACCAAGTACATTTTTCTCGTTCTCCATCAACGAGGGAACCTTACTCACTGATACTGATTGATGCATATCCCTCTTTTCTTAACCCCTCGATCGTCAAGACTTGCGATGTTCGTACTAATTTAATTGATACTATCATTTGCTCCTTTTTACTTGTGCCATATCTTTCTACATCAAGCCCTGTCTGTAAGTTTTGGTATGATCATCGGTTCCAATTCCAGTGTCCCAAAACAGAGCACTGAGGAAATCTTCATCTGTGCATTTACTTGAACTGAACTTAACATGGCCTTCTTCCAAGATGTTTGAACTATAATTTTGTGATATTCTGTGTGTCTGCAGGGCAACGTTTCTGGTAGCCGAAGCGTGTTTAATAGCAGGAGCTACAAAAAATGCATACCACACCAAATATCGGGGAATGATTCTTGCTCACAACTTCTCCTGTGAAACATTGCGGAAAGGCGTTTTTATTGCAGGAGCAGTATTTGTGGTTGCAACAATGATTCTGAACGTTTACTTCTACATGTATTTCACCAAGGCCACTGCTGCTCAGGCTGCCCGCAAAGAAAATCGTGCAAGTTCGACAGTTGGGATGACCGGCGCAGGGTATGCATAGAGCCAACCAATGAGACTAGATAGCCAAGTTTTGTTTCTTAATGTCATATGAGTTTGTGATGACGATTGTATTATGCAAGTGTACTGATATTTAGTGTGCTTGTTCAAAGATAATATAGTGCTGTCATGATTTCTCATATTTTTCTCCTAGACTTGTTAATATATAAAGTGAATCAAGAAAAACCAGGGCTTCGTTTTGGTTCAAAATTTGGGTTTTTGGAAAGGTTTTTTGAAAAAAGTAAAAAAAAGTTTCATTGGGTGGGTATTACGCTGTGAAATTTATAAATTAATAAAATACCCTCTATAGTTGTTTTTTACAAAAACACACCCCTATAATAAAACATTAAAGTTAACAAAAACATCTCCAAACCCCCCTCAAATACGGACCCGACCACCACCGCTGGAGGGTTGTGCGGAGGTCGCTGTAACAAAAACATTAAAATATTTAGGGGTATTTAATTACATTACTAATTTATAGGGTTTAAAACAAAATAATAAAGTGTGAATACTATTATGAGTTTTTGGTATTTTTAACTGTTTAACTTTTGTTGGGAATACTAAGCCAAGGCTGAATTGTTCTCCAAGTACAGTCTCTGAACCACCTTCTTATAACTTGAGGCAAAGCATGAGTCATTTTCTCCATTAACTATGATTATGATAATATGGACTCCTAAAACTGTGTTAGAAAACTTACTCAATAAATGTTTCAAGATTAAACCATGTGAAGAGTGATGTGTTGCTGTGAAATGTGGTCAAATGGCCCATCACGCTGCAGATGAAACACAAACTCATATTACGCAACGATACGCATCACTGTTCGTTTTTGCAGAGATCCAAGCAGAGAAGGGTTTGTCCCAGTAAAGTTATATAGAGGTCTTATGCGAGAAGAAATGGGGAAGAAATTGAAACGCGTCCAGTCAGTACTGCAGGTGTGAGTATAACATAGATATACCAGCTTGTACCATGGACCTGCGTTTACATTTTTACAGATCCTCATTGTACTAGTTTGGTAAGCATAAGTTTTTCCTACTAATGGATCAGCCGTTGCTCTGATGAATACATTTCATTCTCAGAATGACTAGTCGCTTGAACACCATTGCACAGGTGTGAATTGATTTTGGGGCCTTTATGATTCAGTGTTTTCTTCTTCTCTTTAAACTAGTAGTGACAAGGCTAGCCTAAGTACAAGACTTCAAGATATAAGGTCTTTCCATTGATGAAGCAAGTTGGTGTATAGTTTTACTTGGATTAAGACTATTGGATTGATATTGAGTTTCTAAAAGGCATTATAAGAATCTCATCCACGCATCAGCACGGAAAAAGAAAATGATAGAAATGAATTGTGTTCAGATTTAAGTAATGAGTGACGACATGACAGGCCGAAAATCCCAAGATGCCGCAGAAAAAGAAGACGAAGAAATAACATGCGAGAAAAGGCAGAAAAGAAAAGATGCAAGAAGCTCAAGGTCCAGCAAAAGGCAACGGTAATTAAGAGAGAGTCTAAAAACTGAAGTAATAAAAAAGAGGCAAAATGCAAGTAAAGAACGAAAGAGAAGACAAGGTCTACAGAAGTCACAGATGCTAAAGTTTGTACGACTTTAATTGATAGTGTGCCAGGATAGGAGTAGAATCACATCACTAACAGTGCATTTTAAGATTTGACTTTTCTTTTACTTTTCATTACAAACCAAACCCATACTTTTTTCTGTTCTTTTTGCTCTCTTGCCCTCACAAACCACAACCATTTTTAGATCTTACTCTTCTACATTCTACATCGTCTTCAAAAAAACAGTAGTACTCACTCTCATCTAAGATATGTCTTTCGGAGTATGTCTAAATCAATGAATTGCTCCATGTGAACTACCAAATGAAATATTTATGATCTGACTTTAAGCTTGATATTATCGTTATCCCAAACATCTCCAACAAAAAAGATAGTTAATGGGTTTTAACTCTCCCAAGTGCCCTCTATTTGTAACATTAACATAAAGTTAAGAAACCCTAAGGGTTGGTCCTGGGCGACGATGTCGGTTCTACTTCCTATTTCTTGATTCTTCTGGTTCAATTTGGGCCATCTCCTACTCCATATTGTGACTTTCCCACATGTATTACTCAATTATGTATTTGAGTTCGATAAAATTTAAACAGACTCTAAGATTATTGAAATCCTAAATCTGAATATACACATCAAAAAGATTGTTATAAGAGCGCCTAGTTTTTTTCCTTTTGTTTAAGTTGTGGGACATCCCGAGCTATTTTATTCGCCATATGCAATAGGATTGTATCATATAATTTGACATCTATCTTAGTAGATGGAAATGGATATATCAGTTATAAAAATTGGAATTGGGATGGATTGATCGAGAGGGGACAAGAGATTTCGAGGAACAGTTGATTGGTAAAAATAATTGAATTTGGTGAAAGAAAACAATCAATTTTGGGTGTTTTGGTAAGTCAAAACTATCGATCACTTGGCAAATGACAGTCCTTGATATTGCCGCTGTATCCCATTTTTTTTTTTTATAGTAGATTTACTGTTTTAAATTTTCCAATTTTGATGAGCGTTAAATTAGGTTTGTTCTGTGATTGGAGGAATTACAAATGGAGAAATACAACAAAATATAAAAGGGGACCTAATGGTACAATCAAAGAAAAGAAAAAGAAAATTGATCACAAGATTGCATTAGAGGAAGATGGAAATCGTACGGACACCGACACTTTACTTGTTAACTACGTTAAGACTAAACTAGATGTTCTCCACACCCCCGCGCGAGTCCGCGCCACCCTTCTCCTCCTCGGCTACTCCATTTTTCTCTTCCTTCTTTTAATTCCCTTACCCCACTCTCCTTTGGAGGCGCGTGTGTTGTTGTTGTTGAATTTATTATTTATGTTTATAGTTGCAATCTATTATGTCTGTTTTTTTCAAACAAAAAGTACATTAACCCTCATGCCGTCCCTGCCAATCTTATTATGTCTGTTGTTTCGCTAACGTCAGTAAATAAGCTTGAGACCGTGGAGCAAGAAGATGGTAAGCAGTTTAAGGGTTAGATTTCAACATCCTTGACGTTGCCGGCGACATTCAATTTCAAAATTTCAAACACAAAATATATATGTAACCCTTTATATGTTTACTCAATCATTATCGCACTCAACAATTACCTTCTAACGATTTCCCATCTTTATTTGTATTAACCTTGTCTAAATACTCATATTTAAGTATGGTTAAACATACATATAATTTGAACAAAAATGTTGAGTTGATTTGATACCAACTATTATACGTGGAAATGTGAACGGTTTAGAAGACACACGTGTTGTGGAGTATTTTAGTTGAATAAAGGGTTAGAAAGAAAATGTTTAAAGTGGTTCGGAGTTCTAAAAGCGAATCCATGAGTCCACAATGATATTATACTATAGTAAACTCGGTCCGCGTTTCAGCGATCTGAGTTATACACTTAGAGAAACATAAAGAGAGGAGACAGAATAGTGATATTCTAGATGAAACTTAGTCAAGCCTACAAATGGTAAGGACGACCCCCCCGCCTTTCTATGTTTGGCATTGAAACATCAAGGTAATTTACTAAATCGCGGTGGTGGTGGACTGCCTGTAAATCTCTTCTACATCTGCTTATCCGACCGTGATTATCTATCGTCAGGGACCCTTCCTACCTTCAACCATTTGTCACATGGCGTCCGCTACATGGAGGGCATCATACTATGCACGTCGGAATCTCCACCATTTTTCCACCCTGACGTACACCCACTGGAGGACCCAGGATATGTCACTCACATCGTATACGACGTGGGATCATATCTGACAGGTCTATAAGAACCTTTCTTAAGTTCTGACCACCCAATGTGCAAGACTCTACACCTCTATATTTCGTCAGGAACCAAAAAAAAAAAAAAGATTTTCATGTTATAAAAAATCCATCATTTAACTATTAGTGTAAAAGATAATTATGATGGTCAGTCGAGTTTGTTTGTTTTTTTTGTTTACCAACTTCAGGTTATACATAGATGAATGTGATGTATTGAAGACAGAAAACATGGTAGAAATGGCTAACCATTGAAGATGGGGGTGTGCGCTCAATCACTGGGACCATTGGTGGGGGCATTTGCCCCTATTCGATCTACACTCTCTCTCCCTCTCGTCATTACCGTCACTTGTAATCTGTTTTGTTCTTTCTTCTTCTCAAGGAGATAAATACAACACACTTTGGTAGCTGCAAAGAACAGACTTTTAGATATATATATATATATCTACATTTTTCATTAATTCATTGGAGGTGCGGCATTGAGATGTCACTGTTGTTGGAAGACAAAACTTGAAGCTACGGCGTTATATTCTTATCATCATGTTCTTGTCCGATTTGGGCTTGGCCTCCGACTGCCGAAACGCCAACGACCATCAGGAATTTTTCGGAACCCACAAAACTTATCCAACAAACTAACCAATTCAGCGCTACGTAGTTCAACGAAAAGAAAGAAGAGCTCCAAACAAGACCATTCATAGTCTTACATGGAAGCGCTTTCACTTCAACACACAACAACACAACAACACTCTTCGTGTGATAAAGGATTGAGAAGATACAACGAAGAGTCCACAGTGCCCAGATCCTCTCACAAATAGTAAAATTATATCATTCTTTTTTTTCTTTTTTTTTTTCTTTTTTAATATTTGATGATTTATGTTATATTATCCAACAATCACCACGTTTTCCCTTCCTTTCTTGTCTATCTTTCAAGTGTTTCTGTAATATAGAGGGAAAAACGAGGGATTTTGGCCTATTTGATGTATCCTCTATCATTTTCCTCGAAATCAAAAACCAAGAACTTATCCCAACATATCATTTTTCATGTGTATATAGGATTAGACTGAGAATCTCTGTAATTTTTGTTCGTTTCTATTGACCACTTGTTTTCATGCATGAGGAAGAAGAAGAAGCCAGTTGCACAAATCATATATAATTATTGGGAAATTAGGCAAATGTTAATTAAACAATGTAATTTAAGAGATTCAAGCATTTCACGAATTGAATCTGATTTTGCAAAATTATACATATGTCATTAGTAATCTATTATCATCTCATATTCGTCACATCGCTATCAATCTACGCTATTCAATATAAACCTTTCTCGATTACTTAGTCTACACTTAGACACAACATAA